TTCTGTTCTTGTGAAAACACGTCTTCGGTTATCAACATATCCTCCCTCATGAGCGTTTGAAAATAGGGAGGAAATTACTGATCAATTTTTTATGAAAAATGATGAAATGATTAGGACGTGCGCGCAGTACGGCGGTCCGCAATGTGTTAAGAATATCTTGAAACCGGATCGTAACCCAACGAAATATTTCTCGAAATGGCTGCCAATAATGGACTAGTGGCTTGTTTTGTACTTGAGAGATGAGAAGAGAGAGAGAAAAAAGTTTCGCAAGAGCTAAAAGATGATTCAATGTAGAAATAGCTAAAAATGCAGCGGCGCTCCGCAATAAGTTAAACCACATTTCCGCCGTTCTGCGAGGATCTTCCGCCGATTTTATCTTTTTTTTTACTTCGTAGTCCGTAATTTCATCTTTTTTCGATTGAGATATGCGTGTTTCGCGCTCAAAAGCACGTACTGGTTACATGAAATGGTATGGTATAGAGCATGTGAGACAGTGCAGTAAAAATGTATGACACATCATGTGTGTCACACGTGCCTGAACGTGTTAATATGGGTGCAAGTCAGCTGAAGGGGGAGCTTTGAAGGACTTTTTGAGAAAATGCCGATCACCATGTTGAAACCCTTTCCACTGGAGCTAATTCACTCTGAAATACTCATTCCAGTCTCAGTTCTGTACATTTGGATCTTTAAATACAGTTCCAGCGATTAAGTGGTCCGCTAAATGCCTCCATGCATTTGGCATCGTTGCCCACACTCGCAGGGAATGTACCACTTTCATTACTCTTAACGGCGAGATAAAGAGTTAGAGACGAGTGATTCTTGCAACCGCTATTACTTTCCCTCTGCAAGACAACAGCTTACAAGCGGGATTGCGTGTGTACATAGCGTTGCCTGGAGCGTCGTCGAGTGATTTCCTGTGCTATTGCCGGGAATCGGTTGCACGTAGAATATTGCTGATTGGGCTTAGCGACCTCGACAAACTCGTCCAGGCTCCCACTCTTAAGGGGACCTTTGTTCAGAGTGTTCGCAAAGTTTTTCTTTTCGCTTCTTCTCTAATGGAAAGTTACTCATGGGCACAGGTTCATGATTGAGCATCTACTACACGATGTGGATGATTGCGGCAATTGTCTTCAAATGCCCTCTACTTAGCTGTCTTGCCGATATTTGGCAATGGCACGATCCAAATGTTTCGAAAACCAACAATTCAGAAATGGCTAGGCCTGGGAACTTCTCCTCAAACTTACTTCGACCTTTTAATACCCCTTTCATGGAAATGAAGTTACAGTATTCAAAAGTGCGGGGTATTAGATCGAATTTTGGTGAAGAATAATCCTTACCAAATGCGGTTCTGGACGCAGTTCAGCTTGTGGTAAGGGGGTGGGCATGTTGCACTTCCGCTACTTCCCATTGTCGTGTCGAGCCATCGAGTAGAGAACTGTAAAATTTTGTGGACCCGTAAAGTAAAACTTGTCAGGGTTGTAAGGGACGACTTGTCAACCTTTGTAAGGAATACATGTTAACACTTGCAAAAGAATGAACATGACGATGGGAAGCAGCGGCAGTGCAACTGCCCCCCCCCAAACCGGAGTGCGCCCAGTTCTGCCTAAGTGCATCCACATGCTCAGGTGGTGTGACCTACGTGCAAGGCTCGGATTCTCGTGATTAGTGCGCGTAGCATAAGTGGCTAAGTTAGTGAATTAGTTTCTTTTTGCGAGACTGTTACCGAGAAAATAGGATTATAAGCTTATCAGTTGCAGTCCTCTGTTTTCTAGCGTTTCGAGTCTGCAGCCAACTATGTTTCTTAGCACGCTGCCCGGTTTTGCCCCACCCTATCTAGAAAAAGAAATAGACTAGGAGTGGAAACTCGCAGCCAGTGAGAAAATAAAAAGATCTGAAGGAAGCGTGGACTGAAAGTGCTCGGGTATTTGCAGGAATAATATTGAACGTATTATCGTTTTGGCGCTTGTCATCTGCAGAAATGCAAAATTCTGATTGATTTTTGTAGAGATTAGCCGAATTCGACGGGCGTTCATTGCTGAATAATTCGATGGCGTTTTTCACGTTCGAACGCATTATTTCATCCATATCGTTCGACAGTGAATGGACGATTCTTTTGTCTTCTTTACTTTTCTCCTTATTCACTTCACTTTTGATCTCAATTATAGCGCTAGTTATGCATCTTGCCGGGGCATGCCATTCTGTGCATAAGACAACTCGTCCGCATCGGGCATTTTCTTCGTAACATAAGTCCCGCCCTACTTTGCCACGGTCGCTAGCGAAGAACACCCGAGTAGTGGCCTATTTGATCAGTTCCGTCTGTTTCTTACCTATTTATCGTCTTCCTTCACTATCACTCCTCGACTTCAATGCTTCTCAGCTACTTGGAAGTATTTTGTAATGAACATTTCTGAGTTTTCATGTGGCAAAGTAGAGCGAGCAGCCTTGTAAACAAGAGATTGACTGATGTGGACGAGTTGTCTGGAGCAGAACGTGGTATGCAAAGGGTGGCAGTTACGGTCGCGGCGAACCATCCGACCGTCGCGTCATTTACGCGCGTAGGGGGCGAAGGGTGCGGTTATGGTCGCGGCGAACCATCCGACCGTCGCGTCATTTACGTGGGGAGAGGGCTCTGGAGCGGGTGGACCAATTTTCATGGAACTCTAAAACCCTTCAAGATGATAACGTGTTGGTGGGGGGGGGGAGGGACCGCTTAGAGCGCAGACCACCAAAGTCGTCGAGGGATAGTTCCTGCAGATGACACAGTTTACTCTCTGTTAAGCCTGGGCCTTGATTAAGAGAAGGGATATGGGAGCTTTTGGCGAGTGGTCTCCTCCCAAACTGCTTTAGCACCCCCTTTTGTGTAGAGGGCTAGGTTCACCTACGCTTTCGACCTAGACATAGGCGAAAATGTCGTCTAAAAATGCCAACGCTAAATGCCATGTGGCGTTCAAAAATCAAATAAATCATGAGGAAGGTGCATAATATAAGAAGCGATTTCTTCACCATTGGCATGGCATTAGATGTTATAGGAGGTGGTGGCATGTCCTGACAAGTAGAATACGATAATGCGGACCTATGATGCGTCAGCGTCTTCATTTTTTAATTTTTGTTACCTTTTAATTTATTATGTCTGCCGTGAACGTCTACATTCGAAAAGCAGATGACTATGTGACACTTTTGCTAGTTCCCTCTTGAGGCGCTGTTCGGCTTAGTACCGGGGGGCATTACGCACTTTCGCTGGTTCGTGCAAAACGTGTTTCATTTTGGTCCTGATATTTCTTGCAAAGGAACAGAATGGTACATTTGAGCTGCTTTTTTTACAGGATTTTCAGGTCTCCGCAAGGCGGCCTGTACGAACTTTGCTGTGTTCTATTCATTGTCCTCACCAAGCCGAAGTTCGCCCCTCTTGGCTATATATAAGCACATTCCTACTGTAATTACCCCCTATTTACTTTTGTAATTACATGTGATTAGTGAAAAGGTTGAACAGTTCACAACCTCTCACGTTATCTTCCTAAATACATATGGATGAGGTTTTTCTGTTCTTATTTTTATTTATTGAGATAGCGTTCATACATTGCGAATCCGGTGGTTCCTATAGCCAAGAAGTTTAGGGAACTGGAATCCACGAGATAGATTGGGTACGGTACATATCGACTGATTCCGATCGCTCGGGATTTGGAGCCTTCTTCAATGAATATATCTAAAGTTTTTCACGGGTTCTTCGGTTCTCGAAATCGTTACATGTGCTTTTCGGCGCTAATCAAATATACGGGGATATTTAAATGCACATATTAACACCATTTTGAACATCTATGATTTCAAGGCTCAAGGAGCTCCGGCCTTGGTGGAATAGGGTCAACTCGCTCTGAAACTCCTTAGCGCTGATGTAGTGATCTTAATTCCTGGTTCGCAGTCGTTTCTCCCTACCTTTCAGCGAGAAATGCTGTGAAACGAAAAAAAAACAACGATAAGTGGCGTGGAAATGAAGCTAAACACCTAGAAAAACCTTGTGCAAAGTTGCGTATGGCTCATCCGTCGGTATTATCGGCTAATGCCGTTTGGACTCCAGAAATTTCGGCTGCGAGCTCATTTTAAAAGTGGCAAGATCACCAAATCCGCTAAAAACTTGTATATAGGGGTAATTCAACATCCTGATCACGAATATGACATTCATTTTTGGCGCTGGCGCTAATGGATGACACTACGGTTACCTGCGCTCTGCTAAGGCTGAGCCCAGGAGGTAATCGTAGTGTCCTCTCTTGGCGCCAGCGCCAAGAATGAGTGTCATACTCGTAATCAGGATGTTGAATTACCCCTATATACAAGTTTTTAGTGGATTTGGTGACTTAGGCAATTTGAAAATGAGCTCGAAGACGAAATTTCTGGAGTCCAAACGGCATTAGCCGTATTATCGCACCATGCCCCTATATATATTCCACCTTCTCATGGTCAGGATATCTATCAACCGTAGATCCTCCTCCCTTCTTCCTTTTTTCTCCTCATTCTCATTCTTCTTTTTCTTCCTTCTTTCTCTCCTCCCTTCAACTGCTCGGCGAGAGGATGCAACGATAAAATACCTCTGAACCTTCGGCAGCGAGGAAGCATTCCGTTGACAGATGCTCTCTAACCGTATTCCACGGGTTCTGTACTGTGCTTTTCGTATGTTCTGCGATTCTTCGAAGCCATACTCCCTATTCCTTGATTCCTCGTTTCTCCAGGGCCACAAAGTATGAACGCGGCTAGCATGGTTTAATGTGCTTGATCACCATCGAGCTACGCTCAACTTCACTCTTGTTGCTATCTAGCCATGTTGTGAGATCAGAGTGCAGAAATCTAAAGCAAGAGTGAAAAACAGGAAGAGTCACGAGCGATTGTGTGGCTCACTAATCACCAAGAAAGCTTAGGGTTTTCTGGAATGCTGAAATTCTATGTGTATTCTTCATTTTAGGCTCACAAAAATTTACGACGCTGCTCATTCTGTAAAATCTTAATTTCAGGCTATCCAAATAGATCGAAGCCAAATCGAGCGCATGGTCGGCGATCTTGAAAAAGCTCCGCCGCCTCCAGTCGATGCGCCACCAGCCCCTCAATTGCCGTACTGGTAAGGAATGTTTCAGGCTGGGTTCATACTTTGGTCAGCGCCATGAGCGTGCGGCAGCGTTTTTTTTTCGAGCGACTATGCGATTTGCGCGTTTCACGGTTCATTTTGACCTTTTCGCGGGCCCTCGCTGAAAACATTGGCGTTTGCTTAAAACGCTTGATCGATACCTATATTTTCCCAGCCGCTCAGAAGGACGCTCGAAGCGCTGACTAAAGTATGAACGCAGCCTTACTCGTGATGCTTTTTTTACTGTGTTCGTTTTTTTTTCGATTGTCATAAGACTTTTATGATATCGTGCCATAACTTTTGAATGTGAATTGCAGTAAATAAATTGTGTGACTTTAGGTTCACCACTGAGTGTCGCAACAACCTGGTGAACTGTGACGTGCCTGCGATGTCGGTTCCAAGTGCTCCGTCACCAATTCCACCGCCTCTTCCAATGCCAGACCTCAAGCAACAACTCAAAGCGCAGCTTGAATACTATTTCTCAAGGTGAAAGACTATTTTCGATGTGTACTTGTTAAGTAGAAATTACCACCTCATTCGTCAAGGGGTTGTCATGACATGCATGGTTGAGCAAGTTGTTGCTCACTCGAGCCACCACTGAAGCTTGACGCTCGCGTTTTTCATTTAATTTTGGCGCATTTCCTCGCTCTCGTTAGTGAGCGGACTTGTTCAGCAGAAGGCTTGCATGTCGATAATGAGGAGAGCCCGTAGGCCCGTGGTGGCCGCAGGCGATGCGGGGTTGTTTTCTTCATTTCCTAGGAATGTTTGTAGGATGCTGACCACTGCAAGCGGTATTGGTTTTGAATTCAATTAAAGAAGCGGCTGTTGTGCGCTAATAAAGTAGTGGGGTTTTTAATCATTGTGTAATATAAGTAGGGGGACACGAATTTGTAGTGGTTGAAGTTTTGTGGCTGTTTTCACCTTCCTTTGCAAGATCAATTGTAGCTTCAAATGAGGGCGATTGATGCAAAATCACGCTAGCTGTCCTGACCAGAAAACCAAAGTTGGTTTTGCGCCCTTCTTTGTGGCGATCCTTGCGGTCATTTGTTTTTTCTATCCCCTAGGGACCATTTAATTGGTACCAGGCTCAGTAGGAATAAGAGCGCTGGCTTCAACATTGTTCAGCAGTAACCCTTGTGAGGGTAAGGGGGGGGGTATAGGAGTGCAAATGCCTCGACAGATGTGCCTAGAAGCGGAAATGAGCGTCGTTTCTAGAAGCATCCCCAGTTGGGGCCATAATCGTCGAGGAGCCCTGCGAAAACGATGGAGGTCATATTTTAGTGTTTGGAAGGGGGATCGTGTCTGGCATGGCGAAAGTTGTTTAAAATAATGATTTTTTTTCGTTTTTACTCTTCCTGGTGGTCAATCGGAGGTTTGTCCCCTCCCAGCCGACTCTCCCTCGTTGCAACCACAGACTGGCGAAGCGGTTATGCGATAAAGCAAATTGCTGCGCTCTTGGCGTGGCGAGCGACGGTCGCGCCCGACAGACGAGTTTCCCTGGCCTGGTCTTCGTCGTCACTATAAGAGATGGAAAATTCTGCGAAACTTGCGCAGCTGATAGGAAAGATATAGGCGCATGTACGCACAGCAAGACGAACAGACAAATTAACGATCGTCGCTTTTCCGTCTGGAAGATGTGTCAAGAACATTTTCCGGAGGCAGAGATCGATAAGCAAAGTTCGAGGCAGCAGAGGATATTTGTTTTGTGTTCCAGTTTTTTTTAAACATTTTGTTGGAAAATGAGAATCCTAATCTAAATGGATAACTTTCGTCCTTAAGCGCACTAGGTATACAGCAAAGTTCTAATAGTTATTTAAGTAATCATAGCAAATATGAATTTTCGCAGTAATGTTAAAGCGGGGTTAAATTGCGCATGACTTTTCAATTCGGTGAAGGAAAGAGGGAAAGGAAAACTGTTTGATTCAATACTAGGCTGTGTTATGCGTTATACGTTTATTTACATAAAGGCAGTAGTCCGTCGTGAATGGAAGATGTTTGTCAGTAGAATGTGAGTGTTTATTCACAAAGGAATGAGTATTTCAGAGAAAATTTAATTACTGATCGATATCTACGATGCCAAATGGATGCTGACCAATTTGTTCCAATTTCCATAATTGCGGGATTTCGAAAAATTGTTCAACTAACCAGTGATTACAACCTTATATTGCAAGTATTGCGAGGTGAGATTCACCATAAGATTCAATTCATTTTTTTATTCTAGTTGTTTCTTTTTTAGAGATTGATTAAAATTATACATTACGATTTTTTGGCCATGTTTTCTGTCCAGGCAGGTATAACAAGTTAAGGAACAACTGAGAGCTTGTCTCGATAAAAATAGTGAAGTTTGTTTATTGGAGAAGGAAATAATGTAAATACACAAATTTGGTTGAACGTTAATTAAGGGAATGAGCGTAATAACATTAGTGGTGCGAGGGTACTAAAGTATCTGTACAGGACTGGGTTCATTGTAATGGAAACGAGCAGTTCTGCCTAATCCCAAGGCTATAGAGAGGAAGGAGCTCGGGAGTGCCGGAGCAATTCCAAGTACGATACTTCTGTTCGATCAAGTTCATTCCTGGTTTTGCATAAGGAATCCCTCGACGTTACTAACCTTGGCGACTGTAGTACCATCACAAAATTCCGTTTGTCATCGATTTGGCAATAGAAGATAGCTATCGGAGGCTAACTGCTTTAGTACATGTGACTCTGATGAGGTTGTCTACCCCATACGGTTGACTAACGCACATCAGATTGTTTTGATAGAGAGCAAAAAAAAGGAGGGGGGGGAGGATCGTGCTGAGGATGAATTTCTCTTCACATTGACTTTTTTGAACCTAACGATTCACTCCTGTTCTAAGTAAGTTGCAGTTAAGTGTGAATATGGGTGCAACACCAAAAATGAAGCTCGGAAAGGTTTCCAAAATCCATTGTCTTCCACAGAATGCTTTCTATAAGGTATACAGATGGGTCTTTTGATATCGTCGTATATCTTGGCAGAAAAATTGGCTTCCACTCAGGACTTTTAAGCTTTTTGTAAATAGATAATAGGAGATATATATCATGTCGAAGTTTGGGGTGGTGATGGGGAAGAGGGGGATGGAGTGAGGATCGGTCTCAAGGAGATGTTCCAAAGAGTTTAGTCCCTTCCTTTAGTTTACAGCTTTAGCATAGCTGGAAAGGTCTAGATTGAAATCCATGGATTTGTTTTGAGAAAAGATCCCATACAGTGGTCCATCGCGGAACGAAGCATACTGTAGCTCAAATGGAATACACCTTCTCCAAATAAACTTTCACAGACTTTCCCTATCTGAACTAATGTTGTGCGTTAAATACCTCTCAACGATGAACGGAAATTTATATTATTTTAAATAAATCTTTCCACTAACACAGAACTTGAATGGTACAAGGTAGTATGACTTGGAACCGATCTCAAGATGGAGTTGGATCAGTCTAGCTGAGGACGAAATAGTAACCGTCTCTCAAAATGATGTGCAATACGTATGCCGACGAGTACGCATGCTTTTTAGGAGGGAGATTAGTGAAGAAGCAGACAGAGAGGTTCAAACATAAACATGTACTGGTTTTAGAATTGAATAACATGGTTTATTAAGGAATGTGAGAGAGATGCTACCGGTGGTCCACGCTTACGTTGATTCAAAGTATGGTTGAACAATAGTGTTGAGTATGGAGCGTTTGACATGAGGAGACCACTCAACAAGCATATCTTCACCTTCAAAATATGAATATCACTTTTAATAACAAGCCAATTTGCGTGAGTTTTACTTTACTTTTACTTTTCCCTCTTTTTTATGGCATTTTTTTTATCTTTACTGATCTTCATTCACATTGAGTTCTGTACATACTGCTCAGTTGGTTTTTTTATTAGAGTGGTTTCATCAAGAACTGATTCACGATTTTTTTTGCTGTGGATGCTGGGGAGTGTCAAAGGGGCGAGTTTGGCGCGGCGCCAGCCTTTTCTACCAGTTGTTGTCGCTTCTGTTGTCTGTTGTCGCTCCAACAGCAGGTGGCATTCGAAAATGAGGTTGTATCAGTTTGTTCCATAACTCTTTTCCGGATAACGGGCGGAAGAACGGAGTGGCCCCGCTCCAAGCCCACCCTCCCTGATTCGCCCTAGCATCCGCACCAAATAGAGTAGCTGGAGTTTTGACCTAGAGTAGTTTGACCCTCCTGAACGTAAGGAGCCAGGCGCCCGTGGCGCAGGTGCCGGGTGTTTAAGCTCAATGGGTCCTTGGCATACGTATGAATTAGGGTCAAGCTGCCTTCGAGGAACGCAGTCCGGTGAAATTTAGTCACCTAGAGGTTTCTTGCATCAAAATCTGGCCTTGCTTTGGAACAGCGAGGCAATAGAAAATAAGTAAAGACGTGTGCGTTCGTTTAAATTTTGATGTAAAAGCGAATTTAGGTTCGAATAAAAGCAGGCGGTCCACCTAGCGACCTTCCGCCGATCGACAGGATGCCTACACAGGTAAACTTTGATCAGAACTTTTGTTTTGTTCCCGTGGAGTTTGCCCATCTTCGTGTTACCGTAATGCTTGTGTTAGTAGACCATTCATACATTCTCTCTCGTAACAAAAGCTATCAAAGCTTCATCGGCAATTTTATGAAATCATGGTGTGATTTGATTTTTGGCCGCTTGTTCTTCAAAAATGCTGTTAGCCCACATTCATATTTGGTGAATACGAACGATCGATTGCCCATCAATCTTTTATCGCCACTTTCTTTCGCACATCCCTAAAAAATCACCTTCTTCGCGTTTGCCGGTACGACAAGTATGAACAATCTTGAAATATTTTTTGGGGAGTAATTTCGTTGTTATGCCGCGTTTTCCTTCTTTGATACACTGGGAAAGAGGGAGATGGCAGTGGCGGGATGGCAGAATAGGAATAAGGGAATTGGAGTTGATCGATTCCTATCCAATCGATGGTACGCATTCTGCAATTCTTTTATTGTTAAGTGTCTATCAACGCAGCCTAAAAAGCAAAATTTTCCCCGCTGAATACCTCGAGACCGCGTTATTTGCAAATCGAATTCACCCCATCACCAGGGTCACAGAATGCTGCCTTCCTGTAGTAACTTCTCATGGTTGTTGCAGAAATTAAGCGTGAATAGCTCAATCCATCTACTTCGTGCTTTGCACTTTATTTCAAGCGATTTCCCATATAATGATTCTTGAAGTATCTCGAGCAACTATATAGTAGGAGAGGTAGTTCAGTTGATGTCAAGAATAGTGATTAAGAACAGAGCGTACTTTTTTGTTCGACGAGCCTGGAGTAAAAGTGTAAATGCCATTGCAGAAATTATTCCGTAGTAGTGCTCCGAAATTAATAGCTCCGATTCATAACAACTATTGTTATGAGGGGGTTCTGTGCAGGATAAACACGCATATCGTTCCCACGCAATCACCATTTAAGTGGATGACCTTGACGGTAAAGACTCCACTCAGGTATAAAGAACAAGTATAGTTAAAAATAAGTAGTGCCAGGATACCGGTGGACCACTTCTGGCTTTTTTTTTTCTCGAGGCGAATGTGCGTAAAGCTGCACTCAGGTCAGAAGAGTGAAGGACTCAGCGTATCGACACTTGAGGTGGATCTGGCATCAAGGAAAGTGGTGGTTTCGATATAGCGTTTTGGGGAGAACACTGGAATCGTCGACTTGATGTCCTGGGGGAGCGCGCGCTAAAGGAGTAGGTAGGAATCGATGGAATCCACTCGCTTTCCGCGCCGTTCTCTGCCGTTCTCTATTTCCTAGGTCGCTAGGGCAGGATGATAATTCTCCATGGCATTTCTTGCGCGTTTTCTCTCCATAACGTCGGATCGGCGATTCTCTATTCGCGTCAAAGCCGCAAAATAGCGAGCGGGCGACTCGAGAGTTTCGATTTCATGAAGGAGCACGTGGTGTAGCAGGGTGCCAGGCATCGTGATCTGAGTGAAAATGGTTGTTGTCAGTACGAGCTGCGCCTTCCTGATAGGAGAGTCTCGACGACTTTTGCCTAACTAAGTTCCGCAGGCTCCTACCACTTTTCCCGAAATTTTCCAGTTTTTCTCCCAAAAATTTTCCGTCGAGTGGGAGGTGGGAGGGGGTATATAGCGCTAGCGCCGCCTGCGTGTGAAATACTGCTCATATGCGAACTACATGCTACTCTTCTACCCAGCCCCATAATTTGTAAGTGAATAACGTCGGTGTTCTGTCATGACTTTCACGGCTTGTGACAATGGAAGCATTCAGTCCGTCGTTTTCGTCTGTTTCGCTATAGCAGATCTGTCGAGGATCTGCTATGGCCCCAAGTTTCTGTCTATATTAGTCTAAGCGCCGGACCATCCTTCCTAACCATAAGCCGGTTGCTGCGATTCACAGGAGCTTGAAATGGGGACTTGATGAACCGGCTGAACTACAACGACTCCACGAGTGCTGTCACCCACTCGATGGCTTGAATAACCCGGAAATGAGACATGAATGCCACCAGACATGATGTATTACGCGTCACATGCCTCACATCCTCCCACCGTGTGGTATAAATGGAAGAAAGACACTTGCACGGCACGTTGTGCGTTGGAGGTTCCTAGCGAGGGTGGGGGATCGTATTGGGTCGTTCTAGGGAGAAGGAGGGTTGCATTTGATTTTGCTCTTTGAGAAGGGACATCTGCGCGGCTGTTGATTTCCCTTGTTTTTTTCTGTTACAAGTGTGTCATGTACCCCTCCCGACTCAGCAACTGTTTTCTAGACAACATGGAGAATTTTCGGAAACACTGCAGAAAAGTAATGGAGATTGAGGAGATTCTAGAGGATTTCATGTAGGGTCGTGGGGGGAGGGTGTCATATCAGACGGGAAATTTGGGGGAGCGGAGTCGTTTCTGCACAAATTCTCTCCAACGGCGGGACATGCCCTGATCAGTTGTAACCACAGTGCACGTATTCCAGTTGTTCAAATTAGCACGCGGATGAAGAACGCCCCTGCGACCTTTTCAGCATCGGAGCCGTCTTGAAGCAAGATTTTGTCATAATTCCTTTGCACATGATTCTTTGTCACTGTTCACCCTTTGCTGCCCCATTCATTGAAAGTGGGGCCTAATTCCGAACAAGGTTTTTCCCGAGGTAGATCTTTCCGAAATTTTGTCCGAGGAGAAGTTTGGCTGCCTAGACAGGAATATCACTGCTTCCTGGCGCTGCAACGTCTGGCGCCCCGAACTGCGGGCCGGTTTGGCGCCAGCGCTCGTTAAGCATGTAGTTTTTGCGTTAAGCGGGTGTGACACTCGTGTCCGCAGGTTCAAAAGACCTTCTGGGGCATGTTTACAGCAAATTTGCCGATTTAAACTCTTTGGCGCCGATCTCCATATTTTCGGCGCAAGTGGCAAGCATGCCCGCAGCAAGCGGGTGTGTTGTCGTATTCAAGGAATCAAACTGCTCGTGGGGATCAAACTTGAAATCAAACAATCCAGTGATTTTCGGTCTAAATCTGGCCCAATTTCCAAAGAGTGGTGCAGTGATGCGTGAATAATGCTATTTTGTACTTTTTTCGGTTTCGAAAGCGATAAGGCCTAGCAGCGAATCTCTGTGATTATTCTCATTCAAATTGGGCCGGAAGTAGCAGAAACGGCTTATCAGTTGTATGTTTGGGCGCGGCCCGACCAACGAACGCCTAGCTCATTGTTGATACTAAAAAATTCGCAGCAGTGATGAAATTTTCGAAGATAATGAGCCCGTTGACCTACCATAGGATATGAACAAAGACCAAATAAAAACGGTTAATTGAAGGGGGCCGACTTACCTCGCTTTGAAGCACCATCCGTACCATTCCGCGTTCATTTGGTGTTGATGATTTCTTTAGACAAAGTAGTCCTGTCCGCAGTCATTAGGATGTACCACTTTTACAGTTCAGAAATACCTGAGGAAGGCGCGAATAGCTGCTTGAATTCAAGGTTTCGAGTTTAGTGAGAGGTTATACCTAGCAAATCGGCGCAGTTCGGCGACGAGGGGGGAAGCATTTTGCACTTTCACTGCTCCACTAGTTCTGGTCTGCATACTTTACCTGATGAAAGCTGTGAACTCCTGTGAAGCTGGAGTAAGCTCATCGATTAACAATAGAAACCTGCCAATTCACGAAAAGGCTCTCCAGATGGGTCGACACGTTGATGAGAAGTAGCAAAAGTGCGAAATACTCCCCCGTCGCCCACTGAACTGCGCCTAGCAAATCTTTTTGCCGGAGCAGAGTTGGTTCCATATCAAAACGATGCCTAAACTATTTTGACCCATTTTAGCTCCCATGCTGTCTCGTCAACAATTACTTTCTCCGAATTCGTGTGTTTAACTATCGCGGTTGGAAGGGAAGGTCTTGTTCGATGTTGAGACTTTTCTTTTCTTTTATTTTCTACTCAATACAGGTGGGGATTAAGTCAACAAGTATGCGAGTATAGTTAGTACTATGTTCGCATTAGCCTTAATGGACGAGGTGATCCTTTCCCTATCCAGAACTTAAGGAGGCTTGCGGAGTTGAGTAGTCGGCGGCTGGTCATTTCATGAATAATGTCATCAAAGTTATGCTGAAAGTTTTCGGTGTTTAGCTAAGTAAAGCATCTAGGAGGCGGTGCAGGTAGCAGTCTCAGGGGACTACGTCAGGGAATATATGGTAAGCGGGGACTGGTCTCCCAGCCCTGCTCCTCAATTATTTGGTAGGTCTCCATAGCAGGTATGGGGTCTCGCGTACTACGAAAGAGGTGCCCCGAAAAGCTTGGTCTCGGTCACTTCTTTCCTCGACAATTTCCAAAGAGTTTCAGGGAGCTGAGCACAGATGGTAGCGTCTACCATGTGTTCCCAATGATTGGGCATCTTGTGCAGCCTCCCTTCGCCGTCCAGAAGAGTTAAAGAAGTGACCTTCTCGGAACGATGCCGGTTTGGGAATCTCAGGATGGCGCCTTTTGAGAAGAGGACACACGGGTACTGTGTGAGTTTGAAATCACAGAGGACCCATCTCTCATGTCCACTAAGCAGTCTCCTTAAAACTCTTCTTCTGACAAGGGCGGAGAAGGGGAGACTCACCAAGGGGTACCCAGTTGCACAGCCTGCCATCGATCAAGGTATGGGTGGTCCATCGAGCCGGTATTTTTTGGTAGTAAAATGTTACAGGCGAGTGGACGCATGTCAGTTAGGTTACATTCGAGATCTTGTCGAGACACGGGTGCGGTAGCCTCCGGACTCTTAACAGCTTCGAGAACAGTGAAAGCTTTCAACTTCGTTGAAGGCTCTCCTGACGAGATTATTTCTTGGAGATCTATATATCTTTCGCGAATGAGCGAATCGAAAAGTGACGATCCTGAATCGGTAGTGTGGTCTCCGTCAATGCACTGTTTGATGTCGCACACAGCCGCCGCGACACCAGTGCCGCAGGGCCACCGGTAGATGAGGACGCCAAGGTGCTCCTGTGAAGCTAAAATCGTAATCAGAACCAGGAAAGAGCAGGCGCCCTCTCGCACCTCTTGCACGAAAGCTCTAGATGCTTCGTATTCTACAAGCATGGCATATTACCTCATGCTCAAGCATCGAGAATCAAAGATTGTAAGCTTTTAAAGGGAAACACTGACATGACTTACCTTCCAACCTATATTTTCCCATCATCATTTGTATTGATTATGCTCATACGGGGGTGTTGCGCCACACTAAGTCCTGGATCACTTTGCACAGACCACGTTTTGTGGTGCAAAATCTATTTCATTTTTTCAAATAACTGTCTTACCAAGTGAGTAATGCTCGAATAACTGGCTAATACAATAGCTATCGAAGCAGGAAGCAAATGTGACCGTGGCAAAACATTTCGACCACGGCAGGATTCGAACCTGCAATCTTCTGCTCCGTAGGCAGACGCGTTATCCATTGCGCCACGCGGCCACGAGCGATTTGTTGACATGCGCCGTTGATGTTTCAGCTGTGTACTACTCTCCTTTGCGTGTAAATAACGACGTGACGTGCCAGCTAAGACATTGCCACGGAGCCTTTTCTTACATTTTACATAATTATTCATTTCTTATCATTAATTCCTTGAAAATGTCTTTTCGAGATCCAAACAATTTGAAGCAAAGAGGCAAATAATCTTTAGTTTACTTGTTGGCTTACTCTTGGAGTGATCCAAACTTCACTCTTCAACACATCTAAGCGCATCTTCGGCTTGGGAGGGGGCATCGAATGATCCTTATTGAAGCTTGTGTAGGCGATTTTGTAAACACTTGCAAAATCTTTTCACCAAATTGACTCATTGGTACCTTCTCGTAACTTCACAAGTGTCTCATTTTGGGGATCCTTGTCAGCATAACCTGGCAAAAGGAATAGCGAAAGTGCAAAATGCCTCTTCCAAGCCGAAGAGCGTTCAAAATCAATCTTTTTTTAATTAGTGGATCAACCTCTCAAAGTTTCTTTCCCTTTAGATGCCGGAGCCGATAGCTGCAGAGCCGCAATTGTACACACCTCTTTACGAATTGGGACAACTCTTAGCCAGTTATGGCTATGTGCCAAGAGCAACGTTTCGGCCAGGTGCTACCGTAGTTCATGTGCAGGACGAAGCTCGACAACGGATAAATAGGCATGGCCAATCTTCACATCAAAGGAATCAACATGCGCGTTGTGAGATTTATTTCTGCTTTTTTATGAGTTCTTCTTATTTTATTTAGTCTGAAATGAGAAGTATTATAAATGGCGTGATATTGTTTTTCTCTGGTCGATCTCTTGAACCTTTTTAAGCTGCACGGACATATACGCCCGGAACGAATGGCTATGCAATGCATTCGAATGGAGCGATTCCATCACACTCGTCTGCTGTAATCAATGGAACTATTCCATCAACGTCTCACTACGGTGGAATGGAACGACGTCATTTTCGCGAACAAACGTCACAACGAGGTGGTCGTGGATCGGCCAGTGGAGGTGGTCCCCGTCGTGGAACCGGAGACCGTACCTTAACACCAAGGCGCCGGTGTGTTCGTCAATATCACGAGGGGATCAGGAAGTAGTTTGGTGACAACCAAGAACGACCTACTCCGATGAAAATCTCCAGCGGAGGAGGTCGTAAGGTCGTATTTGGTCACTGGAGGGGGGGGGGGAAATCCTCATACTTTTCTGTTTTTCCTATTTTAACGGCGCTATGCATCCCTCCTCTCCTCCTTCCCGCTCACGGCAGTTTTTCGGGGACAAAGAGGAATTAGTGGAAGGCTTCGGAAAAGGAGCATGATAGGCAGGTTGGGAAAGGAGGCCTAAGCATCAACATGTGAGAGTGGAGGGGGGGGCTTTGTATATTGGGTCGCTGAGGGGAGGGATATTATATCTGCCTCTGAGGGAAGTTTTCGGTCGGTGACTTTTCTCAGTTTTTCCTGTTTCAAGTGCACTTTGCATCGCTCCCGCCCCCTGCCCTTCCAGGCACCTTTTCGGAGGGGTAAAATACAGGAATTTCTAAAAAGAACACGATAGGCATGTTATGCGTGGGGGCCGTGCCAAAGTATTAACTTTTGAGGAGAGGGGGGGGGTTGTATTGGGTCGCTGAGGGGAGGGAGATTACATCTGCCTCAGAGAAAAAGATTTCGGTCCTCCGCACTTCGCTGAGGACGACGATCTAGTTCAAAGGCCAGGCAAGTCTCAATGAAGAGTTCCGCTAACACCTTTCTGGGCGCGGAAAATCAGATACTTCAATATCTTACGAATATATTCCGAGATTGATGAAGAGAGGAGCTGGCGCTTTTCTCGCGTCGATTTCCTGCCTCAGTGCCTCAGTTACAACATACCTCCCCCACTCATGGCAGTTTTTCGGGTGAAAAGTTGAGGGATTTTGAAAGGCTCGAATGCCGGCCAGTGAGCTGGGGGAAATGAGGAATATGGTAGTTGTAGGATGGGGGGGATCGTTGGCCTGCGGAGAAACTCTGAGGGCGGGGGGCGCGAAGGTGCCGGGGTATTTCGCGGAGTTCATTCTCAACCGTTAGCACTTCCGTGGTGTGACAACAGCCCGTAAAGTTTCGCCAACTTTCTCTCTATGTCCTTATTTCGTCTCCCCATTTCGTTGAGGGTTAGGGGTTGGAAAGAGCGTGCAAACCGTTTTTGTTTTGAAGTAGTTTTTCACATCCTTCTTCTTCCTTCCCTTTTGAGACCGATTTCGTGAGGTTGCAGCTTCATTTGGGGTCGCAAGTTCGCAAGGGAGGGTCTTTTAAAGGAGTCCTGTGCACAACTGACCTTTTTTCTCTAGTCGCTCTAACGGTGAGTGGTGCAACGGTCTGCCCAACCCCGAAAGAAGTTTGGTGGTAGCTTCTTCAAGGAAAAGGGAGACGCCACATCACTGTAGTGTTGCATGAAGAAACCTTTGAGTGCCCCCTCCCTCCCCCCGCCACCCCGCCCCCCCGCCCCCGGCCCGCGCCCGCGCCCCCCCTGCCCCCCGTCCCCCCCCTCCCCCCCCCCCTCCTGGCCCGCCGCCCGCCCCCCCCCCGCCCTCCCTCCCCCTAATGGGCTTCCTCTTGTTTCGGCTTGCAGTCGTTCAGAGAAGATAAAGAGATTTTTCGTCGTTGATTGATGCACTGATGCGGAAGTTACATTTATTTTCCTTCTACTCACTTAGTTCGTCTACTGGTATAGTGGCTCACAATTTCCTGTTTGGCCCAAATAATCCACCTGCACTGTGCCAGTAACAACCCATTTTTTTAAAGGTGGACGTCGAAACGGAGGTGCTAATGGTTCGAATCAGGACACCCGTCGTCGTAGCGATTACTGCAACGGAGGAGGAGTTAATGGTAATGGAGCAAGTACGAACAATGGACCAGCTCTAAGCGTCTCTACGGGCAATATTGCCGCTGCAGCCGCAGGTTCTTCAAATACGCTGCAAATTGAGAGGTTCGTATTCCCCTCATTTCTTAATTGGGATCTCATTAGTGGCTACAGATGTTTTATGTGACACTCTTATGTGCTATTTCTCTGTTTGATTAGCATAATGTATGATAATTATGTGTGTATATTGCTTCAGGCCACGGTATAACAGTTTCCGACGAGAACGGAATGCCGATAGCGATCATTTCTCCACAAATGACACTTCGAATGCTTCCTCAGGGAAGGGGCGTCGTTGGGAGATGGATAGTGAAAATGGCAGTGATGGTCATGTGGATAGAAAGGTGTGATGAACCTTGCCGTTCCAGCTTCGACTTTATTTAAGGTGGTAGTTTGCAACGGGGGGGGGCTTTTTAAAGGCTTCTCAGAAAACCTGATATTTTCATGAAATTCTGTAAAATTCTGTAAAGCTACGAAATGGTATGGACACGATTTTCATGCTATTTCTCCTACTTTTAAATGCTGGACGACATTAGGGCACGTCCTGCTTTTAGAGAAAGTGTTGCAAAACACACTCCCCCCTCTCAAAATAATTCTTCTAGCAGGACCCATCTCCATCCCAACAATCGATTTTCTCAAACTTTCTACACTTTCCTGGAGGAATTTTCTGATTTTTTCACCACAAAGCTTCTGTCAAGTGGGGGTGGGGAGAGGAG